CATCTTGTCATGGACCAAACTTTTCTGCAGAGAATTTAATATTCAAGTCTAAATTATCAATTATTTAATGAGTTACTCTAATGTTTTCAGCATTGTGCTAGGGCTTACAGAAAATAGAAAGATGTATAAGAGATGATTCCTGTCATCAGAATTTTCACTTACTCTTTTAAAAAAATTCTCTGTCATATGGATTTTTACCCATTTGAAAGCAATTCAACTGAAGCAAAAATATATATGGTCTAAGATTGCATAATCATGTATAATAAATGTTAGCAACCTAAGAATCTAACTTTAGGGAATTAACAAATTATTAAGCATCAACATATAGACTATTACATACTCATTTGAATATGAATACTGTTGAAACATGAAAATATTAATATTTATAAATATGCAAAATAAAGACAATACAAACTAGAATAGACCCTCCTTATACATTTCCACTAACCATGTATGAATATACAAGCTAGGAAAAAAAGTTATGTTAGAGTAGTAAGGATAGAAAACTTGTAAGTTAGTGATAATTTCATAATAAAACAGCACTCTATTTTGTAATAGTGTTTCTCAAAATATAATCTTTCTTAAATCATTTTAATATATCTATTACTATTATATTTACATGATGAATATAAAACACAGAAAACTTTTGAGGATAAAAGCCTTCTTTCCTTTTAATGACAGTATTGATGTATATTCATAACCTAAGAATCTTCTAAGTTAAAAGGTTAGTACTATTGTGAACTCAAAGGGCTCATTAGAATAAAAACTTCTGGGCTCTATCAGAGCTATTCATTTTTTACATATTTAGAAATATTAGGATTATATACTTATTGCACCTTAAACTGTAACATTACCTATTATGCCTATACTCCAGCCCTTTCTATAATATAAATTGACCATAATTGTACCTGAAATTTCCTGAACCTAGCCCATTCTCATTTTCTGAGGAAAAAAGTAGACCCTTGACCTTCTGTTCTACAATATGTACTTTTTAAATGTGAGCTGCAGGTTTTGCTGTAGACATTTCTGAGGTGGGCAGCACCCACTAATCACCAAATAGCAGAAATTTCTACATGCTCAGCAAAGAGCAGACTAAATTTATCATGGTATATGTTTGATAAGAAAGGGCATTTATTGTTGTTAGGTAATATTCCAGAGAATTCATGTGAGGATGATGGTACCCAGCCTCGAAGCCAGCAAATAGCAGCATTTTTCAACTTCGTTATTAGATAAGGTGAAAGAAAAGTTATTGCACAGTGGCTGTGAACAATGAGAGGACCCTGACCTTACTAAATCAACTGCCATTGCAGTCATATAGAGGCCAAAGAGTAAAAGAGGTGTGTAGAGAAAGGGAATTATAGTATTGAAACATTCTGGGAGCAAATAGTGGATGCTTTTCAACAGGGAAATAGGCCATTTAAGTCATACAGTATACAGAATGTCCTTCCATGACCTTTCTACACTAAGGACATAAAATTAGCAAATTGCATTTCCACTAACCAATTACATGAAATTGTGAAAGCTCAAGAGTTATTCCAGCGTTATCTCAGGAAAGAGAAGTGGAAGTCATCTAACTATGTCTGTGCATTGAGAATGGCCTAAGACTATGACAGGAAAGTCACTTAAATAGATTCTTTTAATTTTGTTCACTTTCAACAAACTACTTTGACAAGTAATTAAAAAATATGAGAGGCACATTGTTTTGAAATAGGACATTCAATTTTCTAACGTGTGGTTTTATTTATGCTAATAAGCAACAAGGATATCTTGGTCATTTTAGTATCTAAACTTAGTAAAGTACAGCAGGCTTTCCCAAAGTGCATGCCATAGAAACTGGTCAAATAATTCAGGAAAATAATGCAGAAGCTATTCTGAATTATCTTACATGTTTAAAATGCACATTAGATTACTGAATACTCTGAAAAATGCTACAATTCGAAAACTTCTTTGACTCTGTTTGCCACAGAGACTTTTATTATTTTATTTTTACATATGAATTTTTATTTGATAATATTTATTAACATAAACACCTCTAGGAAACTTTGAAGAAATATAGCAACAATTCATGTATTTGTTGGTAGATGCTATGGTAGCTTTTCGACCTTTAAACATGACCAATCTTTGTTTCAGATCAAATCATTAATCATTCTGATATTAATTAAAGTGGAACAGCCTACAATCAAATAGCATTCCAATATGTAGTATGGGAGAAAAGAAGGCGGCTTAACAGCCTCCGAACAGGAAATGTGATAATAGAATTGAGTGGTGGTAAAAAGGACAGAAGTCACTGTTGGTAACTACACTCACTAGGGATTAAAGTGTAATCATAAGATATATGCATTTAATTTATGCAAATTCCAATTATATATAAAGAGCAAAAGCCCCTGGATTTCCCTGTCATCCTTGTTCACTCTGACCTCCACCTTCAACTAGACCTCAGTTTAGAAAAAGGGAGGTCAATGTAGCAATCAAAGAAAAACCAAAGAAATGAATCTAGGCCTTTGGCAGGAACTTTGTCCTGAATTCCAAGGGGCACCTTTGAGAGTCTTCGGGAGTTGTAACATATACAACTTGTGCTCCTAAAAGACTCAGATCCTTTTAAGGGCAATTTTGATTGTAAAAGATTTTAAATTTTCACCTTAAGCATTAACCTTAGAACCTAACTCCCATTCCCTTATATTTACATCTATGCCCTTCTGCTTCACAGTGGATGAATTCTTACTTCATATGGTTTAATTATGTGTGTTCATATATTACCAGTTTCTAGTTAAAGCTGAAATTGTTCAAATGTGAATGGTAAAAACATTATGATGAAGTATTCCAAATATGAACATTAAAAACTGTGGCTCTAGTTTAGCCTCTATGGATTCTTTCATTCTCTAACTTTATAAAATTTTTAAAGCAAAGTACATGAAAGTTGGACTAATTTCAGTATTCTAATAAAAATAATTGAGTGATTCACTTCTAATAAAAAAGCTTTTCAATACATAGAAAATACTAATTTGACTGAAACACTAAACATCTTTTTAAAAGATTGTTACTGCTTTACTAGTTAATATCAACGCCACTTCTAAGAAGTCTTAAGATGAAGGGTGCAGGAGAAAAAAAAAAAAATCTATTTCCTGCTGGAGTCTGGCTATTTCACTCTAATATTTTCAACTACTTTATTCCTCCTGTATTACATTTTACTTTTCCTTCATCTTTTTTTTCATCTGTACATTTTTTTTTTTTTTTT